GTATGGGACCACTTTTCTTCCCTTCCAATTCATCCTCCTAATAGCCTAAAACATTTCAGTTATCTTGTTTTTGTATAACCCAGATCCCATTTTGCTACGTTCATGGGCAAGCCAACCTTGAGCGTACTTTCCACAGAGTACTATAAATTACAGCATTAACCAGATACACTTCACAGAACTTTCTTCACTGTGCAATAACCTGTTCCCTCAATCACTGGAGTGGCATCATGAAGACCAACATTTCCCAACTTTGGCAAACTAAATGTGAGTGTTCAACTCTCAGAATGCTCAGCAATGGTCATGCTGGCTTTAGAATTCTGGGAGCTGAAGTCCATATACCTGGAAGTTGCTACAGTTGGAAAATCCTGATGTAGACCAAGTGGCATCTTCACAAAATAAAATACTTTCTTCAGCATTATAAAACCAATTTCCCACTGGAAATAGCATCCAAAGGGATTTGCCAATTATAATGCATTAAATCAAGGGTGGATAAATACCTATACCTGTTTAATTTACTTTCTTAGGTCCACAAAATCTAACCTCCCCCTCTTTTGGCATCAAGACAATATTCCACTCTTTGAGAGAGTTCAAAATCACCAAATTCGATTGTGTGTTGAGTCTTCTTTTCCAGATTGCTTCTCATCTGTTCACGGATATGATAATTTTTTTTCCTATTGGGTCTTCCAATGCTGATCCAATGTTCTATAAAAATAATGGCCCCCATTTTACTGGTGATAGGCGTTCATGGCTGGCATTAATCAAGGAATGATGAGCTTTCAGGCTGAATGGCCGTATCTAGTTTTCTGCTGTCCTGATGTTTCACCAGCAGCTATGGCTGGCCTCTTCAGAGGCATAGTGAGGTCATCACTCTTTGTTCATCACTGCTTGGTCCCTGATTTGCCTGTGAACACACTATTGTGCTCCTTTAAAAATCCCTCTAAACTTACCTTTCTACTCTAATCTGGATCTATATGGATTTTAGAGTGACCATTGCCTGGGTTAAGAAATGCAGGAGGAAACAAATGTGCAAGACAACAAGCTAATTTCATTCAGCCAGCTTCCCTCTCACAATGATAAGATATATGCTGCCTTCAGATTGCCTTGATCCTTCACCAAGGGCAACAATGGTTACTGGGACAGATGGGAAGCAGGAATGCAGGATTTGGAAGGTCCGTCCATTTTAGCACCTGCAAGTTCAGAAAACAGGAAGCAAAAGTTTGGCAAGTTTTAAATTCAGTTCACCAATGGCTTGTGCATCTTTGAAGAATATGGCAAGAACAGCCACACAAGTAGAACTACCTAAACTAACAAAAAGGAGCTCTTCCTGTCCCTCCATCCCAGAATGGCAAACTCCACAAAATTTGACCCAACTAAGCTATTTTGTCTGCTGACAATTCCATATAAACAGGTTGTTAAAAAGGAAGGGTTTTTTGGAGGGGTGATGGTGGTGAAGAAATGACACACCCAGTTATGAGTGCTCTCATAGAGCCATATCAATTTCAGTTACAGAGATAAATCTCCATCAATTTTTACATTTAATATTTTTTAACTTAATCCTAAGGATTAAATGGCATTTTAAAGACAAAAACCATATTTCTTAATAGTATAATAAAAAATACACTGATGGCATTAAATTTTAGAAATTCCTTATTTGCAAACGAGACTATGAATTTAGCAAACTATAGAGGATGGCCACAGATAACCAGAATAATAAAGTAACTTAGAGCTGGAATCTAAGTCTACCCAATATCAGAATCTGTGCTTTACAGAACACCAATATTTCAAGAAGATGGGTACAAATGCCAACTCTGGATTGTCTTCAAATGCAATAGCCCTGAATGTTGAAGGGAAAATAGTTCCTGAAACAGAACCATGCTTAGGCCAATATATGACTACGTTCAACCAACTATTTCAAGGAAACTGAATTAATGCATATCAACCAATAATTTTCTTTCACTGTTGTCAACAGATATAAAACAGTCACTTGAACTAAACCTGCAGCTATATATTGGTAGTCTCTCCATAATTAAATGATATGCAATTAGACCTTTCATACTGCACTCCTCCTTCAGATCAAGTATCAGGTGGCTAAAATGTAGACGGTGCTCCCTGCGGATAGCAAAGTACTGATACTTCAATTGGATAAGATTATTCTTGACTATTGCTTCCGCTGTTCTTTTTCTCTTGAGAAACAGGACAGCTTAACACCATAATCTCCAGTTATGTTTTAACTTAATGCTGTCCGAACACCCTGAGCACACTGACATTTCCATATCCAACTTGAAGTTTTTGTCAGTCATCATCTGGTCTTAAAAAAAACCTACTCCATATCATCCTAACCAAAGGGATAGACCCTTGTGCTGTGGGTAGCACACACCATGTCTTCAGCTGTGACTATGTAAATCATGCTCCCAACTGGTTTAGGTATTTGGAGGAACAATAATTAAAGCGATTCATGATCAGAGTCAGGCAGCCTTATGGTCTGGATGGCTCTTTAGTTTGTGGAACTTGACACTGTCCAGCTTCTCAAAACGTTTGCCACAGTACTCGCAAGTAAAGTTGTATTGGACTTCTGAGGTATGCTTCTTCATATGCCAGTTGAGAGAAGACCTCTGTCGGCACTGATAGCCACAAATCTCACACCTATGGAGAGAAAGAGTCATCATTTCTTTATACTCCAGACAAGAGACCAGGAAAGCACCCACAGTCCCATTCACTATCAACAGCTGTTGCTGTCTGTTCAGCATCTACTACCATAATCAAGCAGGATATGTGTTTCAATCTACCTGCTTTTCCTGTCGAGTACTGAAACTAGGTTTTCTTAGTACAATTGTAATTAATAATTGCATAATTACAAAAATAATTACACTTGTTTAGTCTCAAGCATATCAAATATACTGATAGTACAATAATTACTAAATAGCTCATTCAGGGTTCCCGTTTTAAAAAATGGTTAGATATGATCAGCCAGACTTGAGCCCTGGCTAACTTGCACAAAGAAGGCGAAGCAAGCAGGCTCCAGAGGCCTCGCCCTGCTGCTCTGATGCTGGAGCATGGCTCAGCCCAAGACTTTCTTGTCATGCCCCAGGTCACTCACTGGAGCGGGGTCTCTCCTGTATGTGTTCGACGATGGACCTCTAGATGGTTCTTCCGCTTGAAGGATTTTCCACAAGTCTCACAGGTAAATTCACGGACTCCTGGGAAGATACAGGAATAAAAAAAGGAACAGCAAAAGCCATCAATAGCTAACATAGGGGCATTCTCTGTGCCAAAGAAAATAGATTAGATCTAGGGACATCTCCTGAAATAACTTGCTTGAATGAGCAGCCCTACCACTAATCTAATCTAATTAAACCTTAAGACAGCATGCACCACTTAAAGGAACATAATATTGCTTTAAACGTAAAGAAAAATAATAAAAAGAGAGTCCCAATCCCATTGGTCAACAAATTCAATTTGAAGAAAACTAGTAAGTTTTTAATAAACATTGTATTAAAAGTTTCATAGAGCATAAAACTAACACAAATTAATAGAGTAAAAGCACAAAAGAAGAAAAAAGTAAAAGTGCAAAAAGAAAGAATGTTACTATGATTTATTTATTTATCTAAAACATTTATTTAACTGCCCACCTTATACCAAATTCTGAGTGGCTTCCAATCAAGGTTTAAAACAATATCAGTAATAAAACAACATAAAAACCACATTAAAACTATTAAAATCTTCAGGGCTTTCCAGAAAGCTAGGAGGGTGGAGGTCTTCGGAACTTTAGAGGGAAGGAGTGTTCCATAGAGAAGGGGCTGCCACAGAAAAGGCACTCTTCTTAGCTCCCCTAAGGTGTAGTGTTTAAGGGAAGGGATCCTATCTAACCTGGTAGGATGGGGCAAGTGGAAAGAGCAAAACAGTTTTCAGGATTCCCTCAATTCAGTGTAGAAAAGGAAGTTTCATTACCACCCATTGTTCTTTCTTTTGTATTTTTGTTGATTCCTAGAAGTTGTGTAGAACCAAACTATTCTGACTTTTCTTTTGGAAGTAATATACAAGTAGGAAAAAAGTCATGAAACTTTGTTTCTACAGAAGACAACTGCAGCAAGACTATTCTTTGCTCAAAAATGGAAAGGCCTAACACTACCCACAATAAAGGAATGGTTGGTGAAGATGATAAAATTTTCTGAGATGGTTAAATTAACTTCTCTGCCTTGAGAGAAAAACTGTCTACATTTATGGTTGACTGGAAATCCTTTATAGATTTTTTTTTGCATAAAACAGAACAAAGTGCATTTATGATTAGTGGTTTTGCAATTAGAAAAAAATCCTGGATAAAAGAGTGAGCTTTTTTTGTAATCATAGTATTATAATAATTTATTCTTTGATTCTGGATGGGTTGGCAGTCCTGGGGCTGGTGCCCAGTTTGGGGGTCCTCCTACACTTGTGGCTCCAGCTTGAGGAGGAGGTGGCAGCCATGGCTAGGGGCGGCTTTGCACAGATTCATCTGGTATGTCGACTGCAGCCTTTCCTGGATTAGGAGGCCTTGCTTATGGTCACTCATGCCTTGGTCACTGTTTCGATTATTGCAGTGTGGATTATATGTGGCTGCTTTTAAAGGTTACCTGGAAGCTACAACTAGTCCAGAATGAGCTGCTATACTCAGCGAAGGGTGCAGGTTGAGTTGGTTTCCAGTTCTGGGTGCAGTTCAAGGTGCTGATCAACATATTTAAAAGCCTCTCTGGCACAGGGTCAGGTAATCTACTGGCCTATCTTTCCCTAAGGATCTCTACCCATCCTACCAGGTTAGATAGGATCCCTTCCCTTAAACTCTACACCTTATGGGAGCTAGGAAGAGTGCCTTTTCTGTGACAGCCCCTTCCCTATGGAACACTCCTTCCCTCTAAAGTTCCGAAGACCTCCATCCTCCTAGCTTTCTGGAAAGCCCTGAAGATTTATTTATCATTTATAATACCTACAGTGATAGAGAGCACCTCTTCCTTTCTGAGTAGCAAAGCTATTATCTCCTCCATCCACTGTAGAAAGAGAACCTTTAAGTCCAGTACTTCATTTTCCTATAGTGGGGAAACATATGGGAGATAGAATTCTGCAAAATTTTTAGAAACTTCCTTTAACAAAGGAAGATGCAGAAATCCATCTAGTGGCCTTGTATGTATTGCTGAGAGGAACCTCTGGAACAAAAAGAAGTTCAAGGTTGCTGGATAGCTAAGCTGTTTATAGAATGGGCTGTGACTGCCTCTAGAGCATTAATCAATAATGTTTTCATACAAGGGAAACAGAAGACTAGATCTACTTTGATATGGCTTTGGAAAATCTCTGCTATGTATAAACTGATTTTTTGAAAATAAATCAATAGGTAGTTATAAAAGATTAAATCTTTATTCCTCTGCAAATGTCCAACCTATTCCATATCTCATTTAGAATGATCTACACTTAGGACTGGACAATGGTAGAAGAAAGAGAGGAACAGATATAATATTATGGGACTGAGATTATTTTTTTAAAAAATGTAAGGACTACAAAATGGCCATATAGCAGTTAATTAAAAGTCATGTGTCAGTTCTGAAAGTGATAGCATTGTTAACATTCTAGCATGTGCAAAAAAGCTTGCTAGACTGGACAGACAGCTATATTGTTGTACAGGTTACAAATGTAATGAAGCCTGCCCATCATGGTCATAACTCAAGACAGTTGTAAATCAGGCCACCCATGTAATGGATCTGATATTATGATCTTTTTTGCAGTGGTTGTTAAGTGAATCATTATAGTCGCTAAGTGAATCCACAATCATTAAGTGAACATAGAAGTCACTAAGTGAACCAATAGTTCACTACAAAAACAGTTTTGCAAAAAAATAAACGGAAATATATGCCAGTTTTCCACAAAAAGTCATAAAATACAGTCACAGGACACTGCAAATGGCCATAAATGCAGCCCAGGTGCTGAGTACTTTAAAAAGATCCTTTTTAATGGACCTAGCAGTTCCATTAATAATTTCCCTTGTGGGAAAAATGAAAAGCATCTGCAATCAGCTCTAGGAAAAACTAATGGGTCTTTGATCAGTGAAAACACCAAGATAAAATTATAAGAGACAGAAAACCTGCAGCATGAAAAAATGGAAATTAGATCCATTATGCCGACTGCCACAGAAAATGTACCATCTTGGCCAACTATTATTTATGTGCCCAATGAAAAAAGAAAAAAAAATGGAAATCTTGTAAAATATTTAACTGCAGCACTTGTCACTATGATCCTCCACCCTGAAGAAAAACAGTAAAAAAGAAACAATCTTTACTTAGATTAGAAAACCACAGAGTCCTCAGTGATTTGACTGGGAGAAACCCCTCTCTAGAGATTGCTGCACATCTTTTACTGTTGCCTACTAAAGTAAATGGGAGGAGCAACTTTCCTCTTCCACTATAAGAAAATTATATCCTGTTTGGACCTCTCTATTTCAAAACTGTGGTATGTGTTGATATGCAAGATTAACAATTCCATCAGAATCACCATATACCAAAATACCTCCAAAGTGATGAAGACGTATCGTCGATAAGAAAACTTACAGGTAACAATATACCTGAATGGATTATCATGTGTCTTCGGAGATGATTAGATAGGTAAAACTTTTTGCCACAACCTGGGTGTGAGCACACCTTCGTTTTTCCTTTCCGATGAACAAGATTAACATGATTCTGAGGATAGAAAAAAATGAGATGAAAATTGCTCCTCTAGAGCAGGGGTCGACAACCTTAAACACTCAAAGAGCCACTTGGACCCGTTTCCCAGAGAAAAGAAAACACTGGGAGCCGCAAAACCTGTGCGCGCACGCGCATGAGGAGGAGAAGCTTGATTTAAGAGTTTAATTAAAAAGAAATAGAGGCTGCTGTGCATGAGTTCTCTCTCTCTCTTTCCTTTCCCTCTCTTTCTCTTTCCTCTCCTCTCTCTTTCNTTCTTATTGGGCTGGCTCTCTCCTGCCCTTCCTGCTTCCTGCAGAGAAGCAGCCAAGGCAGGAGCCCCGCCCAATAAGCTTGTCAGCTCGTCGGAGAACAGCGTGAGGCCACTCTCAAGTGTCTCTCTCTGTCTCTGTCTCTCTCTCTGCAAATGGCAGAGGAGGCTGGGAGCCGCAGGAGAAGGCTGAAAGAGCCGCATGCGGCTCCAGAGCCGCAGGTTGCTGACCCGTGCTCTAGAGTACAAATTGGAAAGTTTTACTTCTTCACAAACACACAAATCTATAGTAATTAGAATAAATCACTACCTGTCCTTCAATATTTCTGACTTTATGTCAAAAATGGACAAAATGATGTATTATATGCCCTTGGTTGCATTAAAAGTTATCTTAGGGTTTAATTAGGCCATTTAGGCCCTGAGGTCTAACCCAATGTTCCATGCAGGAATCCAAATCAAGGCATCCCTAGCAAAGGACTGTCTAAATTCTGCTTGAACATATCAAGAGTAATTAGATCCACTACAAAAAAGTAGCTCTATTACTTCTGCCATTTTGCCTGACTCCCCAGCATAGAATACAATTTAGTGGTAAAATTAAGGTCAGAAGCTCTTATACTCTATCACCATAAATTTAATAATCTATCAGGTCAGAGGAACTATACCTGGAAGCTACTAAGTGCTACATAGACTTGGGTGCATCCTTCATAAGGACAGTGGAACATCTCCAACATGCCATCTGCATCTATGACACGACCTCTTTTGCTTCGCCGCCTCCTAAGAGGAGAAAAATTATTCAAAAGAAAACTGCTACACATTGCCCATAAATCGACTTCAATGTCAGAAAACTATTCTACTATTGTATTGTGCTCTATGAAAAACAACAACAACAAACCCTAAAAAGAGCTTCATTATTGCATCACAATAAACAGAGATTGTAGAGAATCTTAAGAATATCAGTTTCAGGGCTGCAGAGAAGCCTGAAAAAAAATAAGATTTGAGACACTCATTTCTGGACGTCCTAAGACAGACTTCCAGGAATTAGCACTAAGTTTTGCCAAATGTTTTGTCTGGAAACCTTAACTACCTACCATTTACTGAAGCTTGATCTAACAAAAATTAATCTAAGTTTCTCTGGTTTCGATTATCACAAATGTCATGCTGGACCAGGCTAAGACCCAACTATTCCAGTATTTTTTCTTACAGTGACCAGCCTCTGGGGGGGGTGGTGTTGATAATGGAAAATCTAGATTGGCAGAACCATGTGAATTCTTCTTCAGCAATCTTTGCTCCTCCAGAGGCTTACTTATCTTTGCATAGATTACTATTACTACAATCTGCCTGCCATAAAAACTAATCTGAATGGATGTATAAATTGGTCCTTTCGCAGATGCAACTGATCAGCAAAGTCTGTTCAGGGATATCAATGTTTACCATTTAAGCAAGGGGTGTCAAACTCAATTTAACTGAGGGCCACATCATCACTGCGGTTGCCCTCGGGGAGCCGGGTGGGTGTGGCCATGGTGGATGTGGTCTACTGGGTGGGCGTGGATGGAGTGGGTGTGGCTAGCTCTACATCGTTCGCATCAAGGGTGCCTGTGGGCGCCTGGGCAAGAGTGGGACAGATCTGAGGGTCTCTGGCAGAAGGGGGTGGGACCGGGGCAAGTGCCAAGGCATGGTCCACTGGAGGAGCTTCACTGTTCCTCTCAGGTCATGGGGGAGGGGTGTTGGATGATGGCACGGGCTGCCTGGAGCCTTGGGCAGCAGAAGTCAAATGCCCAGCCTGGCCCTCGAGCACCCGCAGCACCAAGCCCAGCCCCACTTCCCCAAGGGGGCGTCCAGCTGCACTTACCTCCTCAAGGCTGCTGCTGCTGTGCTTGCTCTCCTTATCCAGGTTGCTCATGATGGGTACGAGGGCATAGTCAGAGGGAGGCCCATTCCCTCTCCATGGGAGGAGACCCAGCTTTGTATCCAAAACTTCCTTAGCAATAGGATGGGAGACCCCCAGGATAGCCAGGAGGAAGGGGCAAGGGGATAGTGAAAGGGCAGCAGGGCAGGACTAAGGTAGGACTTCCCTCAGACCCTCCCTCTCCTTCTTTCCTTCCTAAGTATAGAGTGGTGGGAAAATATTTGAGATGAGGGAGGGAGAAAAACAGGCAAGAAACACAGCTGGGGAGGTGTCACCCTTCGTGAGGAATGAAGAAATGCACCATTGCCTGGAAGTGGCCAGCACATGGCCCTCACCTACTTCACATATCTGGCTTGGTGGGCTCTGGGGGAGGGGATGCCATGAGCAGTGTGAGAGTCAACATTACCTACGCAATGCCGCCCAGCCCCCAGCCTGCCCGGTTTCGGCAGGCAGCGGGGTGCTGTCCTCACAGCACTGAGAGGTTGAGCCAGGCGGTGCGAAGCTCGCCAGCTTTGCACCTTGCTGCCTGCTGAAACTGGGCAGGCTGGGGGCTAGGCAGCATTGCACTTCTCATCAGATTCACGCCACCCGGCTCAACTCTTGGTGCTGTGAGGAGAGCGCCCCACCGCCTGCTGGAACCAGGCAGGCTGGGAGCTGGGCGGCCTTGCGTTTCTTTTTGGATTTGCACCACCTGGCTTAGCCTCTCGGTGCTGTGAGGACAGCACCCCACTGCCTGCCGAAACACCTCCCCAGAGCCCATCAAGCTGGATATATGAAGTAGGCGAGGGCCATTTGCTGGCCACTTCCAGGTGATGGTGCATTTTTTCATTCCTCACAAAGGGTGACACCTCCCCAGCATGCACCCAGGGGGTGGGGCTGACACGGCAGGGGCTGGTTCCTTGCTGTTTCAGATGACTTTGTGGAGCTAAGACTGAATGTGTTTCAGCATAGATGGCCACCACAAAATTGTACATTGGCTCCCGGCCGGCCAGGGCCAGGGCAGCGGGGGCAGTTCCCTCAATGTTTCTAGGATGGCTTCACGGGCCACATGAAACCACTTCGCGGGCCACATCCGGCCCCTGGGCCTTGTGTTTGACATATCTGATTTAAGCAATGATAAATCACTTGGTAGCAATTGTGGAAAAGTAACCAGACTCCTCAATACTCTATGAAACACACAATAAGCATTTCACACTGTTCCAAGAAGCAGAACCCAGTTGCTTCCCTAAATGTAGAGATTTAGATGGTCACATCTCTTTTTGTTGCTCACTCACTTTTCAGGCTCCTTTGGAATCTCATAAATAATGGATGACATGTGGTTTCCATCCGTCTCCTCCTCCTCCTCTTCCTCTTCCTCCTCCTCCTCAGGTTCAGGCTCTGGTTCCTGCTCCCTGCTCTCATGGGCTGATTTTGAATCGCAGGATGTTTCTGTTTCTGTTGGAGGAGGATGCTCTTCTTTTTTGAGTTTAAACAATGCCTCATTTTCTGCCATCAATCAGAAAGCAAAATTGTAATTCTAAATGCTGACATACTCTTTCAAGTTATATATGGATATTAGCCAAAAACCAATCACTTCTGAAATGTGTTCTCTCCTAAAATATTGTGCAAGTGATTGGGGAGAAACAGAAAACTAAACAAGCAACATATTGACGATAAACCGGAGAACCTCCATGGAAAGAAACAGAAGGCAATGTCAAACATACCAGTATCACCACTCCAAAAAGAAGTTTGTACCGTTTCTTTACATGAATTCCATTCTTGAAGCCAGATTTGCACATAAAACTAACAAGTGCTATCAAAAAATGAGACATAAATATTTAACATAAAAATATGCATACACATTCAAAACATACATTTTCATGTCCCAAATATGAAGATATGAAATAATCTATTTTAAAATTAACATTATCCTTCTATTAAATATTAAATAGAAGCAAACCTTCCAATTCTTGATTTTCTCTACTATTATGGACTTCATAAGCAATTGCTGATATATTTGTAGTTCAACTGTTGTGGCATGACACACAAAAAGAACCACAAAATGAGTTATTGCAAGATGAGTGAAAAAGTACAGAACAGATCTGGACCTTAATCCCTCAGAGGAATGTCACTTCTTCACAGAATGCTGCACTGATAGCTGGAAGAATGCTTATGGAAAAGAATAGATTAAATTTGCATGCAACAATATGCAGACTGCGATTCCTCCCACCCCTTCTGAATTTTAAAGCATAGAGCTGGAGGCTCCTGCAATCCTTCCTCTATAGCAAAAATGCCACTCTTATACTTACAACAGTGCATTAAACAGACATTTTAAAGCTAGACACCTGGTCATTTGGGAATAGGCAGCCAAGGTGGATGGTAGAAACTACCTTTTTTGGTTTTGATGTATTCCATATTTTCTGTGCTACTCTGCTGTCCATTCTCAGGCTCTACCTGAGTATAAGGTGCTACACCCTCAATCACAGCACAAGGCAGCTCCTCTTCTCCTGCGCTGGTGACATTCAGTTGGATTCCCTCTGCTGTGAGAGAATCATAGCCGGGTCCAGCAATGATGATCACTTGTGAACCTTGCATCATACCTTGCACAGGGCAGCTGGCTACTACTTTACCAAGTGTCTCTTGTGAAACGTTCTCAAACAGAGTTCCGTGACCTGAACCCATCTGCATGGCCATTGGCATGCATACCACAGTTTCCATTGTCTCTGGTCCATTGAGGGATGGGTTGTGGCACATGCTGGCACCTTGTTCTGCTCGTAAGTTCTCAATATGGTGTTCAAATGGAATATGGATGCCATCCTGTGTGATGAGCCCGCTGGTATTTTCTCCTTCTCCTTCTGCTGAGGGTTGCTGAACCTGGGGCTTGTCTTTCTGATTCTCCAGCTGTTCCTCTATCATAGAGCTAGAGCTCTCTTCTGAAGACTCAGAGTTTCCAGTTCCAGTGCCATTGGCAACTACAAATTTCAACAAGGATGAGAAAATTAGCAGATAATTTCTTAGGAACACTGACAAACCTTACAGCCGGATACTTCACCTGCTTATTATCCATAGCTGTATCCAGGATTCTACCTATTCAGAATAGATAAATTAGGATATCTAAACACCTTCAGAACCATGATTGCCCTATTTGCCTCCATTTAAAAAGGCCTCCTCTTCACGCTCATTAAGATCACTTAATAAGACCAAAGTGTACATTCTTGCCTTCTATCATTACTCTCTGTGCAGAAAATAAGCATGTCTAAAACTTATTTTACCAAGAAGAGATGATTAGAGGTATTTATTGCTCTCTCTCCATTGTACTTCCTCAACCTCTATATAAATGTATATAAAGAACAGTATTTCCTGAATGGATGTCAGATGTCCAGCTAGGGAATTCAAGAAAGGAACTCCTGGGACATTGTTCAATAATACTTTTATTGGAGCTTCCGGTAGCGAGGCACCGCCGAAGGAGGCTTTTTCTTCAGCCTCCAGCCCGGGACTGCGTCAAAGCTGTCAAAACAGCGCGGATCAGCTGTTTTGCGGCTCGTAACTTTCTCCCCCGGCGAAGGGGAGAAAGTGAGTTTGGTCTGGATAGGGGTTGAGTTCCCTAGTCCCCCCAGGAGCGATCCTGGGGGGATGAAGGTGAGAACTCCCCCGGAGTCCGGACCTCTTCTCCGCAGCTCTGTGTGTCTTCGTTCCTTGGAGCGAAGCCAGACGTCGCCGCCACTGCTGTTACATTGTATCTGCTTGTGAGTAACTTTTGAAACAGACGGAACCTGTCAGGAGATTTTTATCTCAGTTAAAATGTGACTTTAACTCGAAGATTTTATTGGGATTTTTGTTACTTGCTACAAGTGAAAGTGACAAGAAAATGGTCGCGGAAGCATTTCTTCTTTTTAACAAAAGGAAAACTTTCACTTTCTTTCCGGTTGTGGATGTACTTTAAAGAATTTTAATTTTTCTTTATTTAAAGTCAAGCTTTTTAAGTTTATACTTGCTGTGGTGATTTTTTTTTTTTTTTTTAAAAACAATTTGGCAGAATGGCTTCAAAATGTACTGTTCCTGCGTTGTCTAAAACAGCTATTTCTTCTCCTGTGGTGCAAATTCAACAACAAAAACCTAGATCTCCCCCACCAACACCTCCTCCCTCCATTACACTTAAAGATTTACAAGAGGCCTTAGCCAAGTCCTCATTGCAGACTCTGAAACAAACAGAAGAACTTTTGGATAAGAAAAATCAGGAACTTTGTGAAAATTTATCACATATTTTTCAAGGACTTGCAGCTCATATTGATCGTGTAGAGGGACGAGTGGATGAATTAGTGGAGAAAATGGAAGGAACGGAGGATAGACTTGAAAAGGTAGAGGAAGGAGTGGAAACCTTTCAAAATGACATGGTAATGTTACAATATAAACAATTGGAATTTGCTCTGAGAATCAGGGGTCTTAAAGAGGACCCACAAGAGAAACTTAAAGAGGAAGTTGTTAGAGCTTTGGCCCTGGTATTGAATTGCAACCCAGAGGTGATTTGTGGAGAAATAGAAAAAATTTTTAGAGTGAATTCCTGGGTCGCACGTCAAAGAAACCTACCTAGAGATGTGGTTGTTTATTTTACCACAAGAATACGTCGTAATGAAATTATACAGCTCTTTTATCAGCAAAGATTTCAAATTGCCGCACAAGATATTATACTTTTAAAAGAAATACCTTCTAAGATTTTAAGAAGAAGAAAGGACTTTACATTTTTGACTCAGGAGTTAAAGCAGCGGCAGATACCTTTCAGATGGGAAATCCCTTTGGGTATTATATTAAATTTTGCAGGGACCAGACACAGATTAAACTCAGTTCAAAAAGCTAAAGATTTTTATTTGTCGGTCCTGAAAGCTGATATGTCACCATCATCGACATCTAAAGCACAGGAAGATCTGATGGAGCAACTTGTTGTGGAACTGCCTGGGGCCATGTCATTATCGGTAGAAGATCCTCAGAAGGAGCAAAGGATGACCCGTGCTGCTTATAGGCGTAAAGAGAGAGAGCAACAAAAAGAAACAGTCTCTATAACATATCCACAGCCTTCGGAGTCAGTGGAAGGGGCGAGGCCAAAGAGATCTGCAGCGACAGACATGCAGGGAATGCTTAGCAAGCTTTGTAAGCCAAAAGATGGATAAACGCGGGAAGTGAGACTTTATTATGGAAATGGAAGAAATTAGTTTATTATATGTTTGTAAAGAACTGATAGCTTTTTTTTTTTTTTTTTTTGAAAGATGTAAAAAATTAAGATTGGGATTTTATTTTATTTTTCCAGCTGTAAGCAGGAAGTATTGACTTAAGATTTTATTGAAAGTATAGACTGGAGAGGGAAGAAAGTGAAGGGAAAATTTAAGTGTAAAATGTAAGAAAAAATTATGTAAAGTTTAAATGTTGAAGGTGAATAGATTATATTTAGAGAAAGTATGGAGTGATTAAATGTTATATAATTTTTGAGTAGATGTATTGGTTTTTAATTAATTTTAATTAATTTAATTGCCTTATTAGAGTTAAAGTAGGTATATACTGATAGCATTATATTTGTTTAGTTAAATTGTAATTTAGATTTGGAATGATGTGTTTCAATCCTGTATTTGGTTCCGGGAAGCTCAGGGGGGGGAAGGGGATTAGGGGTATTAAAAATTGATGTATTCATATGCTATAGCTAAATAATAATTGTATTGATAAGAGGAGATGCTCGGCTGGTATCCCAAATTGCACTCGAGGAGGTGGTCAGGTAGAGGGGGGATGTAGAAATGGGAAGGAGGAAGGAGGAGAGGTTGTGGGCTAGAGGGAGGAAGGAAAGGAAAGTCGATGAGGGCGGAGGCAAGGCGGGGACTGCCGAGCGTTTCCGATAATGTATTGATTTGTATTGTTTTTTCTGTTTGTGTATACAAATGCATCATATTACTTATTGTTTAATTATAAAAATTAATAAAATTTTATTTAAAAAAAAAATACTTTTATTGAATATACTACATTGGCACAAAAAAAGGGCAAAACCAGCTCTGAAATTCCCGCTCAAAGGTTCGTATAATTAAACATGAATTCTCCCTTTGGTTGCTCTCCCTTGGTCCACTGCATTGTCCAATCACCTATGCTCCATTTATTATGGGAACTGTCTGGATCAGAGGTGTCAAACTCAATTTCATTGAGGGCCGCATTATGGTTGCCCTCAAAGGCCCATATAAGCATGTCTGGGTGGTCACAGCCAGGTCGCTGCGACCAGGCAGGTGTGGCTGGGTGGGCGTGGTCGGCTCGATGCTGCTTACTCGATGAGCCCACAAGCTCCTTGCCTCTCCGAACTGGCGGCAGCCAAGCTCATGCGCACACACACATCCCCATTCTAGGTTTGGAGACTTTTACCCACAGAGGAAGGAGAGGTCCTTCTTTCCAAGCCCAAGCATGACTGGCAGCTTGCCAGTTCAGATGTGGATAAAAGTCTCCAAGCTTGGAATGGTGTGTCTCTCTGTGTGTGTGCTACAGCACTGGCAGCAGCAGTCCCATCGAGCAGGAGCTCGGCCTGCCCCACCTGTCCCGCACTCACGGACCTCAGGGCCCTGCAGCCAGGCCACCCCTGCCCCACCACCTGCCTCACCCCATGGCGGCAGCACTGGCAGTAGCAGTCCCATCCAGCTGAAGCCCTGCTGCCCCTCCACTCTCCTCCAGACTTTGGCCAAGACCCTGCCAGTGATGCCTCCTTGGTGGCTGGAGCGACTGCTTGTGCTCTGACAGCCGGAGTTCCATTGCGGTCAGCAACGGCTCCATTCTTTTTCTCCATTCTCAAATCTTCGCAGAGTCTTTACCACTTTCCCAAAGGATGGGTAGGTGGTCAGGGCCCAGCACCCCGAAAGAAAATGAAAGTTTTAAGAGACTTGGTTTACTGTCATGGTTCAAACAGACAGATGAATAAAGCAGAACTCCGAGGCTTGAGAATTCCTCAAAGAACATGTTTATTAGTTACAAAGTATCAGCATGGTCAAAAGTGAAACCAAGTCTGAATACACAAGTAACAATTTCCCAATGCAAAGTTAAATGTCCCACCCATAAAACTATGCAAGCAACTACGTTCCCCAATATGATTATTTGGCAGGCTTTTTATGCAATGCCCAGTCCCTAGTCTTGGGAGTAGCCGATGATCTTGGTTCCCACGGGACAGAAGATTATTTTGACTAACCAATCACCTGAGCAACCCCCTCCCTCCATTCTATGTGGCAACCTAGAATGAGAAGAAAAAATGGCTGCAGCCATGCTCATTTGTAGAGTTGACAGTCGACCCCTCTTAAAAAGAGTCTCCTGTAGGGAAAATAAAAAGCAAGTTAAGTATTTCTTCGAGGCTTGTGAGGATATTTATCGTAAAACTTTTTTATTAATCTGTTCGCTTTCACATTGGTACATTTCACCCATGTAGCTTTTGACAGGAGATAACCTTTCCACTGCACTTTCCCTTGTACAACCTAGAATCAAGAATTCGTTTTATTTCATAATGTGTCTCTCCCTCTACCACTATGGACCCGGGGGCTTCTTTGGAATAGGTCTTAAAGAGGATTCAAACACAGGTTTCAACAGATTACAATAAAACACAGGGTGAACTTTTCTCAACAGTCATGGAAGTTTCAATTCCACTGTAACAGGATTTATGATTTTTGTGATGGGAAAAGGACCAAGGAACTTTGGGCCCAATTTTCTGATGGCTAGCTTTAACCTTAAATATTTTGTTGAAAAATAAACCAATTGCCCAACGTAAAAAGGTTTTTAAAGGGAATGTCGTTTGTCTGCCTGCTCCTTGTAAACCTTGGCAGCCTTGGTCAATGCTTTCTTCACATTCACCCAAACCCCCTGGAAAGATGTCACCCATTGATCCAAAGTCTGGGAAGTAGGAGGCTCTTGGGGGTACTCAGGCATAGGCACAAAATCTTGACCCATTACTATTTTAAATGGGGTGAGT